TGCGTGCCCAAAATTCCAAGAGGAGAATGTAGAAGTGACTGTGGCGTGACCATCCCTCCTGGGGGGTGACTTCCCACTTTCCCTTTCTCTGTCTCTCTGGAAAGCATACATGCCCTACGGCAAAACAAAAACAAAAACCCTTTGTAGGAAGAGGCTCTATTTCGTTCACTATCATATCTTTACTTGGTGTCTAGAAAATAAGCGGGATTGGAACCAACAGGTGGCATAGTGATTGGGCAGCTGGATTCCCACATGGCCAATAGCGGTTCTAGTCTCGAACCTGGTAGCTTGCTTTCTCTCTCTCTCTGGTGAATATATATGACCTATGATAAATTCAAAAAAAAAAATTGTAAACAATGAGACAGAAAAAAAAGAAAATAAGCAAGATCCAGCAAACACGCCTAGTCAGAATTTGTTGAGTGAATGAATAGGTAACTGGCCTGAGTATAACCCATTCTTGATTTCAGCCAACAACACAACCAAAACACTGCACGGCTGACTCACTATAAGATACATTTGGTATTGATTTTGTGAAATCTATATCTTCAGAAAATGAATGTCATTCAAGAAAAAGATCTTGTCATACAAGAAAAAGTTCTCCCATTCTTGGTATTTGGGTTTGTCAAAAATGACAATGACAGGGACCAGCAGTTAGCGTAACGGCTACATCGCTTGATTTCCACGTAATTGACCGCAGTTTGCGTCCCGTATCAGGTGGCTTAAAACTCACGCCGGGTGCATGTGTGAGTGTGCCCAAGATCCCGAGAGGAGAATGGAGCAGAAGGGATTGCGGCGTGGTCATCCCCCCTGGGGAGTGATTTCTTGCTTTCTGTCTGTCTCTGTCTGTCTGGCGAGCGCATGCGCCCTATAGCAAAAATCCCCCCCCCCCCCCAAAAAAAAGACAATGACAGCAAAGGAATTTTTTAACAAGTTGGAATAAGGAAGATCAGACAGAAATCTAAATGGCTAAATTGTAAACACAGGTTAAAAAAAAAACAATTCAGTTAGCGTAATAGCTATGTCGCTGGACTCCCACGTAGTCGACCACAGTTCGAGTCCTGGACCCGGTGGCTTAAAACTCACGCCGGGCACGTGTGCGTTCGTCCCCAAGATCCCAAGAGGAGAATGGAGGAGAAGGGATTGCAGTGTGACCATCCCCCCTGGGGGGTGATTTCTCGCTTTCTGTCTCTCTGTCTGTCTGTCTGTCTGGAGAGCGCACATGCCCTATAGCGAAAACCTCTCAAAACAAACAAACAAACAAACTGCCTGGCCGAGATAAACATTTCAGGATATTTCAGAGCAATGATTTTGTCATAATGAGTTGGCATTAACTGCAAGTGACCTTTTCTGTGAGGCCAAAATGGAAATTACGCCAGATTTGGGACAATGAGCGGAATTCATGCTAAGCAGGCTTTGGTGCTCAAATAGGATCAAACTTCATGCCCCTATTATACTCATCGTTCCAGCTAAAGATGAGACACACAGGGAAGTTATGTGTTTATCAGCAAATTCTGATCACCGTGAGGTCAAGGGCAATGCCTTGTACATGTTTATGCCCCCCGCCGAGTCTGCACTCTACTGAACAAATGACACTCGTGATCATCACCCCAAGTTACATACCCATTGAAGTAACCATGCACCAAAGGACATTTTGTGGTTTAATATTTTTCACAACAATTTCTGAAAGCAAAACAATTCCCATGGCTAGATTTTCTACTACTACATATTAAAACTATTGTCCCCAATCCACTTATCTCAATCTTTTCTTTCTTTCTTCTTTTAAAAGATTATTTTATTTAACTTTATTTATTTGTTTATGTATTTTAATTTTGCCCAGAAAAGGCGAAAGAGAGAGAGAGAGAAAGCAAGCCACTAGGTCCGGGCCTTGAACCACTGTCAATCATGTAGAAGTCCAGCATCCCTAACCACTATGCCACCTGCCAGAAAGACAGAAAGAGACAGAGAGACAGAAAGCGAGAAATCACCCCCCAGGGGGATGGCCACGCTGCAATCCCTTCTCCTCCATTCTCCTCTCGGGATCTTGGGCACGCACGCACATGCGCCCGGTGTGAGTTTTTAAGCCACCGGGTCTGGGACTCGAACTGCGGTCAACTACGTGGGAGTTCAGCGACATAGCCATTACGCCAACTGCTGGTCCCTCTCAATCTTTTCTTAAAGAAATTGGGGAGCTGACCCTGTGGCCTGGTGGTTTAGACCGCCAGCTCCTACATAGCTGACTATGGAGTTCGAGTCCTGGGCCAGAGGTTTGAGAAACATTGAGCGCATGTACATGCATGCCCAAAATCTCAAGAGGAAGGTGGAGGAGCAGAGATTGTAGTGTGACCATTCCTCATGGGGGAGTTCTTTCTCCTCTCCCTCTGACAAGTGCATATACCCTCAAGTAAAACCATAAAAAGAAACTAAAGCAAAGAGGTTAAAAAGCCAGACTGAACAGACTATTTAGTTCTAAAGTATCATCCCAAATATGAATTTTAATTGGGAGCATCCTTACAATGGGAAGATCTGATAAAGTGCCATGCTCACCAAATGATCACTCTTACCACTATCAATAAATGAACGAAAGGCTGCCATGAAGCCAGGTGGCGGAGTGGTTAAGGTGCTGGACCTGGCACCTTGCTTTCTCACGTTCCCTTTCCCTCCCTCTATCTCTGATGAGCACACGTGCCCTACAGCAAATTTAAAAATTGTAATAAGATAAATATTTAAAAAAAAGAAAAGCTGACATTAAGTATCTCCTGATGTGACCCACAGGCATGGTACTATTATGGAGGCACCACGCTGGCCAAACAGTTCATCTGAATCTGACCATGAGAAAACAAGATGAACCTAGGTTGTGGGATAGTCTCTAAACAATGACCCTAGATGCTTCAAAAACATCAGTCTCAAGAAACTGAAACAAAGGATAAAGAGCTGTTCTAGGTTAAATGAAACTAAGGACAACTAAATGCAATTGTGATCATTGATTAGATACTGAGATTTTTTTTTAAAAAAAGAGATTTTTGCTATAGGGTGCATGTGCTTGCCAGAGAGACAGAGAGAAAGCGAGAAATCACCCACAGGGGGGATGGTCACATGGCAATCCCTTCTCCATTCTCCCAAGTGCTGGGGTTGAGTTTAAGCCACCGGGTCTGGGACTTGAACCATGGTTGACTACATGGGAGTCCAGCGGCATAGCCATTATGCCAACTGCTGGTCCCGCAAATTTAAGGATAGTAATAAGGAGCTGGCAGGTGGCAATGGTAGTCAAGGCATTGGAGTCCCACATGGCTGACGCTGGCTCAAGTCCTGAATCTTTTTTTTTTTAAAGAATTACTTTATTTAGCTTTATTTATTTATTTTAATTTGACCAGAGGGGGACAGAGTGAGAGAGAGGGAAAGTGAGAAAGCAAGCCACCAGGTCCCGGACTCGAATGATACTCGGCCACGTGGGAGTCCAGCACCCTTAACGACCATGCAAACTGCCGGACCTCCAAGTCCTGAATCCCATGGCTTGCTTTCTCACATTCCTTGCCTGTCTCTCTCTCTCTAGTCCAATTTGAAAAAAATAATAACAACAAATGGAATTAAATAATGATAAATAAAATTAAGTAATTATTTAAAAAAAATAAAAGTTACATACTGAAGAATCAGATATGAAGTGCCATGACTTCTGCAACTTCCTTTCAAATGGCTTTACATAAAGTTAAAATGATACCCATGTAAATATACATATGTGTATATTTATTTAGACAAAGTGAGAAAGCCAAAGAACCAAAATATTACTGAATCTAAGTACAGGGCATATGGGCATCCATCATACTGTCCTTTCAATTTTTCAGTAGGTTTGAATTTCAAAATAAAGAGTTGGGGAAAAGTAAGAAAAGAAAATAAAGGACAATCTGTTCCTAGCAGTGCCCCTACACCGCATGCACATTTCGTCCTTCTGAGATGGTCTCCGGAATACCTTGTTTTTTTGTTTTCACTGCCAAAGGAGATCCTAGTACCTTTTTAAATAACTCGAGCTGCCCAACTCTCATCTTAGGTATGATTACGAGCTAACAAGAATACTCACTTGACCCCCTATTTCACAAACCGGTAAGAGAGAATCGGTTTGCAGGTAACACAGGGCAAATCTCAGGTGTCCACAGAGCGGCGCCTGGCAGTGCCCAGTGGATGCGAAACCACAGGTGCCCAGTCTGGGTCTGCAGGGAGGAACCACGCCCTCTGGCCTTTCCTTGGCAGTCTCAGGGCCTTAAGTCGTTAACCACGTCAAGACACCGACCCACTGATCTCAAGTCTTCTCGCCTTTAAAGAGCCAACACGCATAGTTAACTACCCTCCTCCCAGGGAGGTCATTTCACCTCCTTTCTGTGCATGGATGGTTGTACCTTGTATCAGAATTTGGGGAAAAAAATAAAAAAAAAAAGAACTAACTTCCACCAGGCCCAGCCAGAGCTCCAGCGGAGATTTAAGAGTTCAAAAGGAGCCGTGCCGAGGCTCTGCGCGCCTAAGCAGGGACTCGGCAACAGGTCTCCGGAAGACTCGGGAAGAGGCCGGGGGAGGAGGACGACGGCCGGCAGCCCAGAAACAAAGGAGAATGCGCACCGACTGCCCCTCGGCCAGGCCAGGACGAGCCCAGGTCCTCTGGCCGGAGACCATGCGCCCTCCTGAGCCCCAAACAAGCCGAGGACCATCGCTCCCGGGCTCCATCCCGCGCGAGTCCGGCGCTGGGGCTTCCGGATCGGCGGGGGGCGGGGAACTCCGCGGTGACCGGGTCCACCAGCAGCCGCTCCTCTGACCTCGCCCCACGCGCGAACCCGGGGTCGCCGGTCCTTCAGGACCGGCGAGGAAATGACGGGGAGGAGGGGTTCTCGGGCGAGGGAACCGGAACCCCGCTCCAAGAGAACAGCGCCACTCGGCCGGTGGCGGGGAGGAACTGACCGCCTGGCCCCGGCGGCGGCGCGGGGCGCGCAGTGCGCACGCGCAAGGCGGGGCCGTACCTGCGAAGTAGCAGAGGGACGTGGAGTTGGGGCACACGGTCCCGTTGCCCACTCGCGGAACGAGCTTCAGGCTGAGGATCTGCTGCATGAGCCCGGCCGAACCCCCGCTGCCGCCGCCCCCCTCGCGCTCCATCCTGCCGCCATTCACCGCAGAGCGAGGAGGGGAGCGCGGCCGAGATGCTGTACAGATTAGCTCCCCGCTCCTCTGGCTGCTTCAGCGTTGCCTTCCGCCGCGGCCCTCTTCCTTCCACCACAACGGCAGCCCTGCCAACTGATAGTTCCTTCCTCCAATCAGCGATCCCCATAGGTGACGGGGCGGGGCGAGAGTTGTCCTGTCCCTGACGTAGCGTACGCCTCGCAGAGACCCAGCCCCTACGGGCTGCGCCCCCTACTGGAGAAATCTCCCCCTCGCTAGGAGGGCGCGCTCTGCACTGCCTTTTGTCTAGCGCCATCTATGAGAAACTAGGGGAATTGCATACGCCCCACCAAACCCGAGAGTGGCTTTAAAACGGATCTGACAAAGCAGTGGTCCTGACAGTTTGTAACGTTGTTCAAGGACTGGCCGCCGTGTTTATGAAACGTTCGTGAACAGAACAAGAAAGTTCTATATTTACATCTGACAGTAGAAAGAGCCCATTCAAAGGCTGACCTGGGACTGGGACCGTGAATGGGACTCGGAGGGAAACTCGCAGACTCTGTCACGTTGCTTAGCTTTGAATAACATTAAAGTTTTAGGGACCAGCAGGTGGTGTGGTGGTTAAGGTGCTGGACAGGCCCACGTGACCTACCACGGTTCAAGTCCTAGACCTGGTGGCTTGCTTTCCCACTTTCTCTCCCTCTCTCTGTCTCTCTCTGGTCAAATTAAAATAAATGAATAAATAAAAGTTTAAAAAAAATAACCTGAAGGATCTCTATTTTTAAAGAATTTTATTTTTATTTTTATTATTTTTAGTTTGCTATAGGGCATGTGTGCTCACTAGAGAGAGAGAGAGAGAAAGAAAGAAAGAGAGGGGGGAATGTGAGAAAGCAAGCCACCAGGTCTGGGACTCACAGTAGTCGACCATGTTGGAGACTAGTGCCTTAAACACCATGTCACCTGCTGACCCCAGGATCTCAATTTTAAAATACTGAAAAAAATACTGAGAAGCTGGACACAAACCATTACATATTGCATGATTACTTTTCTATGAAATGTCCAGAAAGGGCAGAGTTTTAGAGACAGAAAGGAGATCGGGCTTGCCTGGGGATGGGAGTGGAAATGAAGAAAAACGGCAGTCTTGGGGTGATGAAAATCTTTTTTTTATTTGTTTTTTTGAGGGGACCAGCAGTTAGCATAATGAAAATCTTCTAAAACTGATTTGTGGTGAGGTTGCACAACTCTGAAAATTTATGGAGAATCATTGAAGTGCACACTTAAGTGAATTTTATAGTATATCAATTATATATACCAAATAAAAAACATTTGGGCTGGCCCTGTGGCCTGCTTAAGGAAGCTGGATCCTACCTGGCTGACCACACGGTTCAAATCCCAGCCACATCACGCACGCCTGCACATGTGCTCAGCAGCACAATGGGATGGAAAAATGGAGAAGAGATTGCAGCAGGACCACTCCCCATTGCAAGGAGGGTCCTTTCTTGCTTTAGGTCTCTCTGGTGTGTGCACCCTCTGCCAACTTAGAAAAAGATTTCAAGGGGGAGGGCTCTGAGGCACAGCAGTGATGCACTGCTCAGGGGACCTAGTCTCACATGGTGGCCAGTGCCAAGCCCAGCCTGGTCAGCGTGAAGCACCCTGGTGTGGATGTGGGTGCTCCAGGATCCTGGGGAGGGGCATCATGGTGTGACCAGACCCTGCAGAGGTGCTCCCCTCCCTTTCTCACACATGCTCTGTCATGAGTAAAGAAAAAAAAATAAAAACAAAAACCCGTTTTAGGCCCTGGCACAGGCGGTAGGTGCGGTTGTACAATACTGGAGGCACGTGGGAAGGCCCAGGTTCAGAGCCTGGGTTGACCTGAGCACGCTGGGTATGCTCGTGGGCGTCACGATCCTGGCTGCCTGAAAAGCTGGGGGTCGGACTGCAGTGTCAAAGATCTTGTAGGTGATGCCTCTCTTTCTCTCAACAGATAAATGAACTTTAAAAAAAATGTTTTCTTCCTTATCAGCAAGCCACCAGGTATGGAACCCAAACCGTGGTCGACCATGTAGTTAAAGTGTCACCACGCCACCTGCAGCCCCCCCAAATAAATGACCTATAGCCTACTAAAATGACTGTGTAGGTTAGATGGAGTATCTGAAATATCATTTTAAGCATTAATGTCCATAACAGTCGTCTTGGCTTTGCACTCTTTCAAACATAACTTAAAGATGTTTCATTCTTTGGCTTAGGAAAGAATAGAACACGAGGCTTTAAGATGGCTTGGGGATTTAGAAAGTCAGTGAAGCAGGGTTTGGTTTTTTTGGGTTTTTTTGCCATGTAGTTGAAATGAAAAGATTTGTGATTTACAGTAGGACTTGCTGGACATGTGACTGAGTGATCAGTGCTGACCATCTTTTTCCACAATTGTGTTATATCCAAGGCTAGCCCTGGGAGTAAGTGGTGGCGATTAACCAAAAAGAAAAAGAAAAGGGGGTGGAGGGAGAAAAGAAAAGAAACCATGAAGAACAAATCCCTAAATTACTTCCAAAGAGAAACTTAAGTCATCAGTGAAGAAATGAGAACCAGATGGTTCAACACACCCAAGTGAAGGAAGCTGGAGGGTAATTCACCATTTCTCCCCTATTAGAAGGGAAAATTAGTTTTGAGCACTTATTTTAAAACAAAAAGCATTGCAGGGCCAGCCCTGCAGCCTGGTGGTTAAGGGAGCCAGATAGATCCCTTAACTGTTGACCGTGCAGTTTGAATCCTGCTTGAAAAACACACTGGGTGCATACGTATGTGTGCCCTAAATCCAAAGGAATTAAGAAATGGAAGAGGGGGACCAGCAGTTGGTGTAATGGCTATGTTGCTGAACTCCCATGTAGTTGACCGTGGTTCAAGTCCTGGACCCGGTGGCTTAAACTCACAACGGGTGCATGTACATGTGTGCTCAAGATCCCAAGAGGAGAATGGAGGAGAAGGGATTGCCGCATGGCCATCCCCCCTGGGGGAGTGATTTCTCGTTTTCTGTCTCTCTGTCTCTGTCTTTCTGGCGAGCCCACGCACCCTATAGCAAAAACCTCTCCAAAAAGAAAGAAAGAAAGAAAGAAAGAAAGAAAGAAAGAAAGAAAGAGAAGAGGGATTGCAGTGTAACCATATCCCATCAGAGGGTGCTTTTCCCTCTCCTTCTTCCTCTCTGTCTCATGCATGTGCCCTTTGATAATTAAAAACAAATAACAAAACACTACATGCAAAATATATAATATTTTTCTTTTAATTTAAGAACATTAGTGAGGGGACCAGCAGTTAGCATAATGGCTGTGTCGCTGGACTCCCATGTAGTTGACCGCGGTTTGCGTCCCAGACCCAGTGGCTTAAAACTCATGCCAGGCACGTGTGCGTGCGTGCCCAAGATCCCAAGAGGAGAGTGGAGAAGGGATTGTAGCGTGGCCATCTCCCCTGGGGGATGATTTCTTGCTTTCTATCTCTCTCTCTGTCTGTCTGGCGAGCACACGTGCCCTATAGCAAAAACCTCTCAAAAAAAAAAAAATGAACATAAGTGAAATTTTTTAGTAGAGTTCCTTCCTGAAGCATTTGTTTTGGAAACTTCCTAAATCAAGTTCTCTCACACTACAAATGGGATTTTGCATCAACCAAGAAACTTATCTAAAATAGAAACAGTAAGGGACTGGACAGTGGTGCAACCATAAACATGATGCTCTGTGAGGTGACCTATATGAGAAGGTTCTCAGTTTGTGTCCAAAGACCTCCCTAATAACATCAGACACAGCCATGCCCACACTCCGGGCTGGCTGAAGCTGGGGGAGAATCACAGCATCAGGACCCTGTTAGGGGTGGTTTTCTCTCTCTTTTTCTCCCACTCATGAAAGAAATTTTAAAAAGAAAAGAAAAAAGATGGGTGAGTATCTATGGAGGTCATAAAATAATGTCCTTTAACAACACTGTCCTTGGACTGGCCCTGTAGACTCTGACTGTGGATTACCTCTCATAGACACTTACTGGCTATATCACATGCCATGTCCCTGCCCTACCAGCAGGGGGAAAATGTGGGAGTACAGGCTGCTAGGAGCACTCCACTCGCAACTGTATCTGTCAGCAAATGCCTCATAACAAACCATCCTAAAACTTAAATGATTTAAAAACAATACACATTTGTATTGCTCCTAAAGTCTTTGACTTGGCTGGGCAGTTCTGGTCTTCGCTGGTCTTCCTCAAATGTCTTTGTAGCTCTTTCTATTGACAAGTGGAGTCTCTTTCTCCAGCTCTGCATCTGAACTGGCCCTGTGACATGCTTTGGCCAGGAGAATGTAGCAGAAATGGCATGGTGCTGGCATGGCCATGATTGGGACACTGGACTCTTCCATGTGGTCTCTTGTCATTCAGCAGGCTAGTTTCCATGGCAGGAGCAGGAAAAGGAGAAAGCATGCAAAGTCTCTCGAAGTTGGAGGAAATCAAAATATGTCATCCCAAAATATGCCTCTTTGACATAAAATTATTTTGAGTGGAAGGCAATTAAGAAGCAGAAAATGCAGGAAAAGCTCTCTTTGCTATGTCCCCCATTTTCCCCCAAAGGGAAGATATACATTCTCTTTGACTAGTGATAACTCTTATCAGCCCAGAGACAGCACCAGAGGAGTCTGCAAACAAATCTTCCTCCACCAGTGCCTTTTCAAATACTGTTCTTCCCATGGTTTCTTGCCCTTGGAAGCCTACAACTGCTCTCCTTTGTCTTGTCATTGCTCTACAAATGTGCTCTCTCTCCCCCTCTCTTTTAATTTCCTAGAGGGTACGTGCACTTGCTGGAGAGTGACAGAGAGGAAAGGAAAGTGAGAAAGTATTCCCCACAAGAGTGGGATGGCCATACTGCAATTCCTTCTCTGTTCCTCCGTCCTTTGGGGATTTGGGGCACACACACACAAGCCGCCACATTCTGGGCTGGAACTGCACAGTCAGGCATGTGAGACCCAGTGGCTTTAACCAGCACAATACTGCCTGGCCTACGTCTTTTCTTGTATTTAATGAATTATTCATCTAATTTTGTTATTATTATTATTATTATTTTTTAATTTGACCAGAGAGAGGCAGAGAGGGAGAGAAAGAGAAGGTGAGAAAGCAAGCCACCAGGTCCAGGACTTGAATCTCAGCTGGCCATGTGGGAGTCTAGCGCCTTACCCACCATGCCATCTGCTGGTCCTGTGTGTTTTCTTTATAAAGATGCTATATAAGCTGGAGTTCTAAGCCACTGTTTTGAAATTTTGTTTTAGTTATTTTTATTTATTTATAAGTTTGCTATGGAAGTGTGTGCTCACCAGGGGCTGGGGAGGTGGGGAGGAGAAGGAGAAAGTGAGAAATCACTCCCTAAAGGTATGGCCACACCGCAATTCCTTCTCCATTTTCCTCTCAGGATTTTGGGCACACGCGCACACACACACACACACCTGGCATGATTTTCAAGCTGCCAGGTCCAGGGCTCAAACCAATGCAACTGGCCATGTGAGATTCAACTGCCTTAACCTCTATGCCGTCAGTCGGCCCTCAAATTACTTTGTCTGGAGGTTTCTTCCACGTGCTGCCTTCTGCACATATTAATAAACTGTCTTCTTCCACTAATGTGTCTTTTTCTTAATGAACCTGCCTTCGTCCATATTGTGCTGCTAGAACGGAATGCCAGGATTGGGTCATTTATACTGAACAGAAGTGTATTGGTACACAATTCTGGAGGCTAGAAAGTCCAAGACCAAGGGTATGCATCTGGTGAAGGCCTTCTAGCTGCATCAGAGCACGCCAGAGGCCGTCACATGGCAAAAAGACAGAGAGAAGGCAAGAGAGAGACAAAAGGAGGCCAGATTTGCCCTCTCATGAGAAAGGTTCTCATTCATTCACGAGAATGGAGCTCCTGGGGCCTAATTACCACTCATCAGGCTCCATCTCCCGACAGGCTGCACTGGGGATCGAATGTCCAACACATGAACTCGGGGTGGGGGGACACATTCAAACCAAAGCAGAGCCCCAGCTGAAAACTGGGTTGAAGTCTCAGACATGATGACTTGAAAAACGTGTCTGGCATACGTGTGTGTGTACACACAATCCTGAAAGGAGAAATGAAGAAGGAACTGCAGCATGGCCCATCTCCCACCTCCTACCTCCTGTACTTTCTTAGTTTCTCTCTCTCTTTCTCTCTGTCTCTCTAGAAAACAAAAAAAGAAGTCCCAGGGAGCTGCCTCAGTCTTCCATATGTGAGGACACAGGTACAAGAAACCATCTGTCTATGAGGAAGTGAGTCTTCCCCAGACACGATGGTGACTTGACCTTGGACTTCCCAGCCTCCAGAACTATGAGAAAGAAATTTCTGTTGTTGATCATTTTGGCAGGTGGAGGCATTTTGTTACAGATTAAGACACTATCTTAGATACTGAGTACTCCATAATAAATCTGAGGTTTTAAGTGTCTTTCCCATGTTACTGTCAACAGAGCAAAGCCAGGTTTTTATTTATTTTTAGAATTGTTTATTTTTAATTGCATTCATTATTATTTTCAAATTCGTTATGGGGGGACCAGCAGTTAGTGTAATGGCTATGTTGCTGGGCTCTCATGTAGTCGACCACAGTTCGAGTTACGGACCCAGTGGCTTAAACTCACACCGGGCATGTGTGCGTGCGTGCCCAAGGTCCCAAGAGGAGAATGGAGGGGAAGGGATTGCAGCGTGGTCATCCCCCCTGGGGGGTGATTTCTCATTTTCTATCTCTCTGTCTCTTTCTGTCTCTCTGGTGAGCGCATGTACCCTATAGAAAAAAAAAAAAAACTCTCAAAAAAAAAAATTTGCTATGGGGCATATGCACTCATCAGAAGGAGAGAGAGAAATTCAGAAAGCAAGCTTCCAGGTCTGGGACTTGGCCCACGGTAGGCCATGTGGAAGTCCAGCATCTTAACCACTATGCCATTACTGGCCCCCAGAGCCAGGTTTTATGTGACTCAAAGCTTCTAAAGCTTGAAGGATCCTTAAATGAGCTTCAGCTTCAAGGCCAATATAAATACTCCTCAATTTATGATAGGGTTACCTACTGATAATCTATTTTTTTAATTTATTTATTTAATTACATTTATTATTTCTATTACTACTATTATTATTTTAATTTGCTATAGGGCACACATGCTCACCAGAGAGAGAGAGAAAGAGAGGGAAAGTGAGAAAGCGAGCAACCAGGTCCAGTACTCCAGCTGTGGTTGGCCATGTGGGAGTCTAGTGTCTATACCACCACACCACCTGCCAGTCCCTGATAATCTTACTATAAATTGAAAATATTGCAAATTGCACTATGCATTTACTACACCTACCTCACCTAACATCATAGCTTACTTAGTGTAGTATGCCTTGGAGACACTCCGAACGCATACATTGGCCTACAGTTGGGCAAAATCATTGAACACAAAGGCTACTGTATAATAAGGTGTTGAATATCTTATGTCATTTATGGAATACTGCACTGAAAGGAAAAAACAGAATAGTGGTATAGGTGCTCAAAATACAGTTTCTACTGAACACATTGCTTTCACATCAACATAAAGTCAAACCACCATTAAGTCGAACCACTGTAGCTGGGACAACTAGGTCCCCTCCAAGTAAAGCAGAAAATGCCCCACGTGCTTTGCAACAAGAATGTGGGTCCATGGTCCGGGTTCCACCACTCTTAGCCACACTCAGGCTATGAATCAGAAGCTGCAACCACCAGAATTCAGTCCTCTTGGAGAGGCCGGCTCCCTTGTTCCAAGGGATAATAGGCTCAGAAGTTCTAGAGGCAACTGTCACAGTCCCCAGCCCAGCTGTGTGCTTCAGTGTGATTTAGCTGGTTTTGTATGGATTCAAATCCGCTTTCTTGTCCTTTCCAGAGGTCCCATGAGCATTTCTTTTAAACCTGTGCTGAGGCCTTACCGGGGCTCATTTCTGACTCAGGTCTAAGCCCCCTGTTTTACCCAGCACCCATTTAAGAAGCTTCTTTGCTGCCAGCACTGGGTGTGTGACTTGCAGCTAGGAATTGCACTCTGCTTCCTCCAGGGCCTGGCCTGGAAGGTCTGAGGCAAGACAGAATCATCCTAGGTCTTTTTCCTTCCAAGCTCCTGGTGAGCCTGATCTTGTTGCATTCACCCCATGCCTTGCCCCACCTGTGTTCCAGGTACTGCTCTTGCTGCCAACCTCTTACCACCCACTACACCTGGCTTGCTGCCCAGGCCTTCCAGCCCTCTCTCCTTCCATCTTCCCTCCTCGCGGCCTCCCTCCGGGTTTATCTAGGATGCTCTCCAGACTATGCTTTGCCCCAAATTTATCACCTCCTGAATCTCCCAACTGTGTCCTGGGCCTCACCCCTGCCTGCTCTCCCCTAGGGCATACTAGATGGGAAGATCTGACCCTTCTTCACCCACAGGTCAGATCTCTGCAGGCATGATTCACCCTCTTCTCCTCACTGCAGGCCCAGGGTGAACGTCCCTCCTCTCTCAACCCATTTCTCACCTGTGTGGCCTTAGAAAAGTCCTTTCACTTTGGAGTTTGGCTCATCAAACTTTATAGGCTGTAAACTAATCTGTAACCACACAGATTAATGATGTTGAATTCTGTAAGGAGGATCTTTCCCCTCAAGGTAAAGCGAAGACTCACCTTACCTTACCTGGGCAGGGTGACAGGGCAGGCAGGCTCCTGGGAGGCAGGGCAGAGACAGGCTAATGAGAGAGCAGAAGACAAGAGGAGAAGGGATTGTGGTGTGGCCCTCCCTGGGTGTGTGTGTGTGTGTGTGTGTGTGTGTGTGTGTGATTTGTCTCTTTGTCTCTCTCTGTCTTTCTGGCAAGTGCACGCACCCTATAGCAAAAAACTCTCAAAAAAAAATAAATAAAAAAAGAGGCATCCTAATTTCTCACTGAAGGTACAGGCAAGTATGAGTCTAAAAGCCAGTGGCCACCATGGGAGCGTGGTACCAAAGGCAGGGGGGATCAAAGCTGGGTGTGTGTGCGTGTGTTGTACCGGGTTCAGGGCCAGCTCAGCTCAGTTAAACACTCTTCTCAGGGGAGGAAAGAACTAAGGGGCAAGAGACTGCTTGAGTGGGAGCTAGGTTACCAGGACTTTCTCTTTGTGCACAAGAAGCCGGGACAAAAGTTTCACTTTCCTTGAGGACACTCCATGGGAACTCAGCTACTAAAGAGGACTCATGGGGCCAGCAGGTGGTGGTAGTTAAGGGGCTGGACACTCCCACATGGCCAACCACGGTTCGAGTCCCGAACCTGGTGGTTAGCTTTCTCACTTTCCTTCTCTCTGTGTGTCTGTCTGTCTTTCTCTGATCAAATGAAAATAAATGAATGAATAAATAAAACTTTAAAAAAAATAAAGAGGACTCAAAGAAAAGCCAAGAATCTGGGGAGAAAGAAATTGCAGTCTGAAGACTCAGTCCTGTCCTACGACAGTGGAGGCCCCTGCACTCCTGGCCCTCAGTAGTCGCCTGCTTCTCTTGGCACCCTGACCCCCTTTCCACCGTGCACCGGGTCTCAGGGCCCAGACGACCGCCGCATCTGGGGTCCTGCGCTAAGGCTTCACTAAGGCTTCCGTTGCACGGCAGTGGACGACGCCCAGCTGAAGCTGCTGGGGCCGCGGGGCAACACCAGGTCCAGGGCAAGGTCGCGCTGCTCCTCTTCGGAGAACACGGGCCGGTAGCCCAGCAGCTGCAGCGCGCCTGCGCACAGCTCCTGCACGCGGCGGATCTTAGCGAAGGGCAGTGCGTGGCGCCAGGCCTGGGAGACGTTGAGTGCGTCCCTGGAGGTGGTTTTGAAGGCTTCGCGGCGCGCTCCGGGCCCCGACCCGTGAGTGATATTGTGGATCCAGGCTTCGAGCTGCGGCGTAAGGTTCAGGCCGGTGAAGGCGTAGAGCGCGCGGATCTCCGACAGCGGGTCGGGCCCCCCGACCCCCCCCAGCCGGTAGCGGCCGCGCAAGAAGGATGGCGGCTTGTGCGTGGCGGCCTCGGCGATGCGCACGTGGCTGCGGCACACCTCGCGCACCACGCGCAGGCCCGGGTCGGCCTCCACCCATGTGCCGTTGGTGCCCAGCACGATGCCGTTGTCGCGCGCCAGCGCCTTGGCCGTCTGCTCGCGGGAGCGCAGCACCGCCCTCGGGTCCCGCACCAGGTGCACAATGCGCAGGTTGAGCGCAGGGTCGTTGAGCAGTGGGTAGAGCACCTGCAGGTTGAAGAAGCGCACCTCTTTGAGCACCACGTGGCTGTAGGAGCGGCAGGCCTCCTGGGCCAGGCCAAAGGGCCGCCGCGCGCACAGCGGCTTGCACACCGTCTCGCTGCTGATGGCGCCACGCTGGAAGGCATTGCAGGCGGGCGGCGAGCATAGCGCTCGGCTCACCGCCCACTGGAAGAGGTCTGACAGGTTGCGGCGCCACGGTAGGTAGGCGTCGAACACGTCCATGTCGCAGAGGAAGACCGAGCGCACCAGGTCGCGCACGGCCATGTGCAGCGCCGGCGCACTGCCTTGCGACAGGGCAGCCCACACGTGCCACGCGGGCTCCATCAGGTAGAAGACATCAGGGTGCTGGCTGAAGAGTTGGCCCACGAAGGACGAGCCTGAGCGCCACGAGGACAGCACCAGCACGTGCACGCGCTCCCCACTACCGGCTGGGGATGATGGCCCAGGCCTGGAGACCAGGAAGAGCAGAAGGCAGGTCTGCGCCAGCAGGAGTGCGGTCACCGCGGTGCTGGAGACACGCGGCAGCCACATGCCGCCGGCCAGGGCCTTCAGGAGGAGAGCGCAGCAGTTAGGGACTTAGCTGGCACTGCCACTCACGCCCCCAGTTACTGCCCAGGGCCAGCACAGAGCAGCCCAGCGACTGGACCACCAGTCCCGAGGAAGCATCCGGACACGTCCATGGTCTCAGCTGGGCGCTGTCCCAGGAATGTAGAGTTAAAACATAAACGCAGCTGGTCCGAGTCAGTGCTGTTTACAACTTATTGATCACAGCCAGTTACAGATTCCTTTGTTCCATCTCTACTCCCACTGTTTCGATTGACTAGCCTAAACAAACACACAAACAAAAACATAAACACACAGGACACCCACGTAGTTGACCCTGGTTCAAGTCTGATCCTGGAGTTTACAACCTCCTGGGCGCTTGTGCTTGCGGTCCCAAAATCCAGAGAGGAGATGGGGAAGGGATTGCAGCATGGTCATCCTGGGGGGTGAGTGTGGGTGAGCTCTCGCCTTCTGTCTCTCCCAACCTGTTGGGACTTGGGGCATGCGCAATGCTCACACACTTGGCAGGTTTTTTAAGCCCTTGGGGCTGGGACTTGAAACATGGTCAGCTATGTGGGATCCAACTCCCTTAACTACTGGGCTATGGGGCCAGCCCAGCCCCAGGCACTTTGATCACAGGCTGCAGCCTCTCCCACCTCTGACTGCTCCCTGGGAGTACAGAACCTTACTGATCTGGCCCAAACACAGAGGCCCTGGCCACCCCAGCTTCCACCGGGTTGGGAGGATCCTGACTCCAGGCCAAGGTGTTTGTTACCTGAGTTCCAGAAAAGCCAGAAATCTTACATGACTCAGACACTACAGGAATTGCTCTCTGCTCCTATTAGTGAAACTTGAGAACTAGTTAGTAAAGGGAAATACCCTGTGCCAATCAGCATATCCAGACAAGTGCCGGTTCTGACAGCGGGGAGTGTTCTGATAAGGAGGCTGTGTTCAGCACACTGGCCATTTATCTGAGGGTTCAAAGTTAGAAAGCAGACAAGCCAGCAGTGTGACATGCACCTTTGTCTTCATGATTGAATTCTATCCACTTAATAGCCCTAGGAATTACTGGTTTATCGGAAATGTCATAACACATTTTTTACGTAAACAAACCGTAAAATATGTAATGACTTTGCAGGAATCCTCAGCTAATAAGGGACAGAGCAGACTTTTCATCCAAGAGCCAGATCCCAGCATAGGGCCTGGGCCACGCTCTGAAGGTTTTGTTCAGTAAAGTCTCTCATCTGGGCCAGCAGGTGGTGTGGTGGTTATCCCACATGGGCAACCATGGTTCAATTCCGGACCTGGTGGCTTTCTTTCTGACTTTCCCCTTCTCTCTGTTTGGTCAAATTAAAAAATAAATAATAACAAAATTAAATAAAGAAATAATTTTTAAAAAAGTGATGGACTGCCATGTGGTCAATCGCAACTCAAGTCCTGGTGGCTTTGAAATACACCCTGGGCACGTGTGCATGTGTGCCCAAAATCCCAAGAGGAGAGTGGAGGAGAAGGGATTACAGCATGGCCATCCCCTCTGAGGGTGATTTCTTTTTTTCTGCCTCTCTGTCTCTCTCTCTGATGAGCGCATGTATTCTATAGCAAAAATCTCTTAAAAAGAAATAAAATAAGTCTCCCATTTTAGAAATAAAGCATATTCCCTCCCTCTCAGTTCTTTTCTTCAGTGACTTATTTTTTTGGGGGGTACATATTTATTACTGTTTACTTTTTGGAAAAGGTAATACATAGAGGTCTTGTGAAATTCCAAAGGAACATATGAGGACACCACAGGCTCATGCTTGATTCAGTAGGATTAGAAAAGCCACCCCAGCCCCTGGGCAGACACTCAGAGTATGGACCAGTCAAAAGGAAGTGACACCCCCATCCCCTTGCCGTCCTCAGACCCTCTCCAGAGGCAACTCGGCTTCTGGTTTCCACCAAGTCTCTCGTGGGGATGATGGTGATATTAACAGTGAAGAAAGTAATTATATATTTGGGGGGAGAAGGGTGGGAGTAAAGTTCAAGAGGCCATTGAGGGAAGGGAGGAAGGAGAGAAGGAGGAGTGTTTATGACAGGGCAGGAATAAGGAACACTAGTAAAAAGCAGCTTCTGAGGGCTTCCCATAGGCCACGTCTTTTCTGTGCATTTGTTGATTCATCCTCGCAATATCTCTATGATGTGAGCCCGATGATCTTCCCTATTTTACAGATGAGGAAGCTGAAATTTAGAGAGATTAAGAGATCTTGGGGCCAGCAAGTGGCAAGATGGTTAAAGCACTGGACTCTCACTTGGCTCACTGCAGCTTGAGTCCTGGGCCTGATGGCTTGAAAATCATGCCAGGCACACATGTGTGTGCCCAAAATCCCAAGAGGAGAATGGAGAAGGGATTGCAGCATGGCCATCCCCTCTGGGGGTGATTTCTCATTTTCTCTCTCTCTGTCTCTCTCTGGTGAGCACACGTACCCTATGGCAAAAACTTAAAAAGATAAAAAAGAAAGAAAGGATCCACAAAGCAGCTGAGTCAGAATTTAAACCGTGTGGTCTAACTTGACAGCTCTTAACTGCATAATGTCAAGTGAAAAACACAAATAACAAACTTACATAAATACGTACACATACCATATGATAACAACTGTGTTAAAAACACAACACCAGGACCAGCAGTTGGCATAATGGCTATGTACTCCCATGTACTGGACTCCCATGTAGTTGACAGTTGTTTGAGTCCTGGACCCAGTGGCTTAAACTCACGCCAGGCGCATGTGCGTGCATGCCCAAGATCCCAAGAGGAGAATGGAAGAGAAGGAATTGCGGCATGACCATCCGCCCTGGGGGGTGATTTCTCGCTTTCTGTCTCTCTGTCTCTCTTTTTGGCGAGCGCACGCACCCTATAGGAAAAACCTCTCAAAACAAAACAAAACAAAAAAGGCAAAAATGTTGAAACAAGGGGCCAGCAGGTAGCATAGTGGTTGAGGCACTGGACTCCCCTACCGCGATTGAGTCCAGGACCTGACAGCCTCAAACATCCCACACTGGGCTCATGTGTTTGTGCATGCTCAAAATCCCAAGAGGAAGGGACTGTAGCGTTGTCACTCCCCTGGGGGCTGATTTCTTACTTTCTCTCTGGCGAGTACGTGCACCCTATAGCAAACACCCTTACACACAAACACACACACACACACACAAAGAATTTGAGAAGACATTTCTCTGAAGAAAAAATACAAAATGGCCAATAATGAGACCAGCAGTTGGCGTAATGTCTATGTCGTTGGACTCTCATGTAGTCAACCATGGTTCGAGTCCCAGACCCGGTGGCTAAAACTCACGCTGGGCGTGTGTGAGTGCATGCCCAAGATCCTGAGAGAAGAGTGGAGGAGAAGGGATTGCGGTGTGGCCATCCCCCCAGGAAGTGATTTCTTGCTTTCTGTCTCTCTGTCTTTCTGGCGAGCACACGTGCCCTATACACCACCCTCCCCCCCAAAAAAAAGGGCCAACAAATACATGAGAAGATGCACAACATTTGTACTCACTAGGGAAATGAAAATCAAGATCATAATGACATACATTTCCCATCTACTGGATGGTTATAATACAAAAGAGAAGTGATAATAATAACTGTTAGTGGTGGCCAGCTGGTGGCGTGGTGGTTAAAGGCGCTGGACTCCCATCCCACATGGCCCACCACACATCGAGTCCTGGACCTGGCAGTTTGGTTTCTCACTTTCCCTCTCTCTCTCTCTGTCCCTCTCTGGTCAAATTAAAAATAAGAAAATAAATATAGTTAAATAAAAAATAATTATTTTTTAAAAATAATAATAACCGTTAGTAAAGATATGGAGACATTAGAACCCTCATACTCTGCTGGTGGGAGTGTAAAATGGTGCAGTTGCTGTGGAAAACAGTTTGGCAGCCTTTCCAAAGGTCAGAGTTACCATATGGTGCACCAGTTCTGCTCCTGGGTGTGTCATCAGAGGACGGAAAACATATGTCCACACAAAACCTTGCTCGTGAGTTTTCATAGCAGCCTCATTTATAACAAACACTAGAAACACCCAAGTGTCCATCAATTGATGAATGGATAAACAAAACATGGTAGAGCCATGCAGTAGAACCATCTGTGACAATAAAAAGAGATGAGGGCTGGGGCCAGCATGGGGCATGGTGGTTAAGGTGCTGGATTCCCACATGGCTGATCACAGTTCAAGTCTTGGACCTGGCACCTTGATTTCTCATTTCTCTCTCTCTCTCTCTCGCTCTCTCATGCCTGTATCAAATTAAAAAATGATGATGATAAATAAAATCAAATAAATAATTTTTTAAAAAGTAAAAAAAAAACAAGAGATGAGGGTTATCTGGTAGCAATGGTGGTTAGGGCAGCTGGATCCCACTTGGTGGACTGTGCAGTTCAAGTGCCCAATCTGACATCTTGAAAAGCATATAGGGGTAAAAAAAAAAAAAGAAAAGAAGGTGGGGGGGGGGGGGGGGGGGGGGGGGGAGGGAAAAAAAAAGAGAGAAGGGAAAAAAATGCATATAGGTGCGTGTGTGTGCTGAAAATCCCAAAAGGAGGAAGAAATGGAGGAGAAAGGATTATGGAGTGACCATCCCCCATAGGGAGTGGCCATCCTCCATGGGGTGTGTTTCTCACTTTCCCTCTCTCTTTCTGTCTCTGGTGAGTAAATTAAAATAAATAAATAAAAACTACAAAGTGCTGACACCTGTAAGTTCCAATGGGGATAAATCTTGTGCTTAGATGTAAAAATACTACAATTCTGGGAATCGCACATGTTTAAAGTATTAGGTATATGAATTATGACTCCATAAAGCTTTTACCTGAAATAGTGTTACAAATATGTGGAGAAAGTAGTGTGGAAAGATGTACACTGTGGCCAAGTCATAGGTAATTGTTTTCCTTATAAGTACTTTCATGAATTTGCCAAATGGTCTTCAATGTACTTTTATTACTTCACTAATCATAAAATTATTTTTAGTTGGTTAAAGGAGGCATGGGTGGAGTTTGTCTCCAGCTTTCATTGCAGGGAGATAGGGGCCTGCTAATCCATGTGCCACCTGCCTGAGTACCCAGCTG